CAGCCCTGACAACTGCTAATCTGCTTTCTATCTCTGCGGATATGCCTAATCTGTTCGCGGTACTAAGGATTGAAGCTAGAGCCTTCACACTGAGCTACATCCCCAGCATTTTTTTTTCTTTTTTGAGACAAGGTCTTGCTAAGTCACTAAGGTGCCCAGGTAGTGCTCAAATTTGCAATTCTCCTGCCTCAGTCTCCCAGAGTGTTGGGCATGTGCTGCCACATCTGGCAGACATTCCTATTCTGGGTATTTCATATAAGTGGAATCATATAATATGTGATAATGTGTGTCTGGCTTCTTCCATGTTTGCAAGGCTCATTAAAGTTATAGCAAATAGTAGTATTTCATCCCTTCTTATGATAATGCATTATAAGCTTTGAGTTTGGTTTCTTTCTGAGATTCAACTATGCTGTTACATGCCTAAGTAGATTCTCTATTTTTATTGCTGAGAATTCCATAAGTAGTACATACCAGAGTCTATTTGTCCAGTCACTGAAAAACATTTTATTCCTGACACTTTTTCCAGAAATACAATCATAGCTCAAGATAATTTACCATAAATGAGATTATAATAATTTCCAAAGGGCAAGTGAAAAACTCAAAGCATACAATATATGTAGGTTAGCAATCCCTCATCTACAATTCCAAAATCCAAAACTCCCTTAAAAACCAAGGTTTCTGGTAAATTTTAATCAAAGTATTTTGAGGTAAATTTTGGCCTACATTTCACTGAATCTCTTTATAGTCTTAGTCTTCTTATTCACAGATTTTGCTGCATAAGTATTAGACCTGAATACATATCCCTTAGAATTAATATATGATGTACCTATCACATTTCATTGTTTTGTTGTGTTTGAGACAGAGTCTTGGGCCAGGGATTTAGCTCAGTGGTTCTGCCGCCTGCCTCACAAGCATAAGGTCCTGAGTTTGATCCCTGGTACCAAAAAAAAAAAAAGAAAGAAAGAGACAGAGTCTCATCACGTAGTTCAGGCTGGCCTTCAACTCACTATGTAGCCCAGGCTGGCCTCAAACTTGCAGTGATTCTCCTGCCTCAGCCTCCCAGGCGCTGGGATTACAGACATGCATCACCACACCTAGCTACTCACAGGTCCTTGATAAAAGTTACCTTATATATAAAATACCTCTAAATGGAACAAAAATAAAATTTCTAGTCAGTAAAAAAAGGCATTAATATATTCTCTGTTACAAAGCAACTCCCCATTTTACCAACTAAGAGGAAGAACTCTACCCCACAATCCCAGTTATGAGCAACATCCACCTGGCATACTCTTGCAGGTTGTCATCCAGCCCAAAATGACTGCCAATTTTTCTCTTAGACAGAAGCTATCTTTCTCTCAATAAATTTTCCTATTCTTAACCTTCAAAAAGAAAAAAAGTCAGCCTTTCCATTGAGATTCACACATTATCTTTTTTTGTTTGTTTTTTGAGACAGGGTCTCACTATGCAGTTTAGGCTATCCTTGAACTCACTATGTAGCCAAGGCTGACCTCGAACTCACACTGATGCTCCTGCCTCAGCCTTCCAAGTGCTGGAATTACAGGTGTGTGCCACCATGCCCGGCTCACACATTGTCATTTAACAAGTAAATATTAAAGTTCTCTGAACTTGATTGTTCCAAGACACATGTTCCCACCAGCTTGAACCACTAGTGATATGTTCGTGACTGTCCCAATGAGCAACATGGTACTGTCTTGTCCTGTAAGGTGCTACTAGTCACCCAATGGGAGAGTCATGCTAACCCCATCGTGAACATGTTAATATGCTCTTCCCCTGAGAGGAAATCACTGCTGTTCCCCACCTACATCATGGACACTTCTCTAAAAGTATTGCTGTCATGGAGCTTTCTTTTTTGAGACAGAGTCTTGCTGATGTAGTTCAGGCTAGCCTTGAACTCATGGCAATTCTCCTGCCTCAGCCTCCCAAGTGCTGGGATTACAGGTTTGCACCCCACCCCCTCCCAGCATGAAACTAACTTTCTAGTGAGAATAATGAGATACACAAACCACCAAAAAAAAAAATCAGAGTGATAGATCCAAAGCCAACAAACAAGAATATGATGAAAAGTAACTAAAAAGTGATTTTTAGATTAGATGGAAATTAGATTTTAGATTGGATTTAGATTAGATTGGGTAGCCAGCTTCAGAGAAGTGACACTAAAGCCAAGAGCTTAAATCACAGAAGACAAGTGAAGACCAGAAGAGCAGTCCAAAGGCTATGACATAGAAAGAAGTTGGTACTGGTCAAGGTCAAGAGAAAAGTCTATATGGCAATAGCATGATAGGGCAAGTACAGAGCAGTATGACAGTGGTCAGACAGCCACCAAGGACTAACTCATGTAGGGCTTTGTAAATCAAAACAAGGAGTTGGAAGGCCGGGGATTTAGCTCAGTGGTTTCGCCACCTGCTGCGCAAGTACAAGGACCCAAGTTTGATCCCCAGTACCAAAAAAATAAGGAGTTGGAAACTTCTTCCAAGTGAAGTCAAAGGCCATCTGAGGGTTTTAGGCATGGGAGTAACAAGATCTGACTGATACTTTCAAAAATTCATTCTATTTCTCACATAGAGATGTAGTATCAGTAAGATGGACATTGGTAATCTTATCCTTTCATCAAAAAAAGAAAAATATATATATGTGTGTATATGTATATAAAATACATTATCACTTCATATAATAAAGTGCTGAGTTTTTTTAAAACCACTGTCCTGAATGATTTCACATGTACATCAATGTCTTTGGTCTGCCAATTATGACTCTAATAGCTCCTATGGTCAACAATTTTAAAAACTTTCTCTTTAGGGCCAGGGATTTAGTTCAGGGGTTCTGGCGCCTGCCTTGCAAGCGCAAGGTCCCGAGTTCAATCCCCGGTACCAAAAAAAAAACAAAAAACTTTTCTCTTTGTATCTTATGGATTGATGTAAATTTTACTCTTGTAACACATTTGACAATTTAAATAGAAAGTAAATGGGGCCGGGGATTTAGCTCAGTGGTTTCGCCACCTGCCTCACAAGCCCAAGGTCCCGAGTTCAATCCCTGGTACCAAAAAAAAAAAGAAAGTAAATAAGTAATGCTGAGCAGGGTGGCACACTCCTATAATCCTAGCACCTGAGAGGCTGAAGGAGGACTGGCATGAGTTCAAGACCAGCATGGGGCTACATAGTGAGTTTAAGGCCAGCCTGAATTATATAGTAAGACCCTATTTCAAAAAGAAAAGAGGGGTCAGGGATTTAGCTCAGTGGTTTCGACACCTGCCTCGCAAGCGCCAAGGTCCCAAGTTCTATCCCTGGTACCAAAAAAAAGAAAAGGTAAAGGAGTAATACAAAAAACAGAAAATGAAATATCTGAACTGCTACTTCAATATTAAGACACCTCTTCTTTCATAAATATATCAATACTTAATGAAAATACAATTCATAGCACAAGATTGAAGTTGAGGCTATTACCCTTGAGTTGAGGAGTATCTCTAATTTGTATATTCTACTTTAGTTTCCAATGAAATTATTTATGGGATACATGCAAAAAATAAGTAACAAAAATGAAGTTTACAAGAACAATATAACTACACTTAGTCATGTTTCTACAAATTCAGGATTGTTTTCAAAGCAAAGAAATAAACTACTTTCTTCTGGACTTAATACAACGTATTTTCTCAAGCATAAAGTTTATTTCTGTGGAAAATTTTCCTCTAGAGAACCCATTTGAAGAAGCTATCTAATTAATCCAAAAATTCTAACTATGGTAAACTGTTTAAAAGTGAATTATCAGCTAGGCGTGGCAGTGCACACCTGTAATTCCAGCACTCAGGAGGCTGAGGCAGGAGGATCTCGATGAGTTTGAGGCCAGCCTGAGGCTACATAGTGAATTCAAGTCTGTCTCAAACAAAAACAAAACCAAAAAAGGGAGGGGGGATTATAATCTCAAAAATATGACATCCTCTTACATGAAGATTTCTTTAACTGGATAACTACAATTCTATGTTCTGTGAGAAGCTTAACATTCTACTGTCTTCAACTTAAAATTCTACAAAACAGGTAAAGATTACCTTTATTTTTAAACCATATCATATCATGTAGTCCTAAAAATATTGATCAAAACCTTGAATACTTGATATTTCACTTCTGAATATTTTTTCTACAGTAAGATTTGAAGGAACTGAATGAACTTGGTGCCCTGACATACTATGAGGATACTCTGCAAGTTTAATCTGCAGTTCAAACCAGAGTAGCCGTCAAAATAAAAAGGCTTTTCTGGACTTATTCATGGCTTTCAACATAATAGATGTTGCAGGACTCTGTTCTTAGATAATACTGAAAATTCAAGAAACCAGTATTTTGTACAATTTCTCTGGAAAGTTGTTAATTTTACTCTGAAGCAAGGAAATGTAAAATTTTATATACAGCAAGTTTGTTAAATCCTATGGGATTAAATCTAAGCATTCTGCCACTGTGAAGAATATAAATAAAAAATTTAATAATTATATAAAATATATTTAGGGACAGATGCTACAACACTTATTTTGTATTTCACAGGCATTCAGAACTGGAACATGCACCCTGATTGCACATGTGTGGAATAACATCAACAAAGAAGCACACCTAAGACTAAAGGTATAGGAGGTTTCTAAAAATCTTTTTTTTTTTTGGTACCAGGGATCGAACTCAGGTCCTTGGTTTGCAAGGCAGGCGGTGGAACCAATGAGCTAAATCCCCAGCCCTTTTTTGGTTTTTTGAGACAGGGTCTCCCTTTGTAGTTCAGGTTGGCCCTGAACTCACTATGTAGCCCAGGCTGGCCTCGAACTCAAAGCAATCCTCCTGCCTCAGCCTGCCGAGTGCTGGGATTACAGGCGTGCGCCACCACGCCCAGCTCTAGAAATCTTAATTATGGTTTCTTAAAAAGAAAAAATTTTTTTAAGTAGCATATAATGCTGAGATCTGACAAAGACCCTTCCTAACCCAAAGCCATATACCTGTAAAGAAACTCACCTGTGTTATACTCCTTCAACTGCAACTCCCTTACAGGCATTCCATTGGCAGTCCGAAAGGCATTAAGAATCTATAAGAATATGGTATTTACACTGATGATACAAATCACAGTCAAACACTATATTTTCCCTAATGGTTTTATTCTATAAAATTTCAAACTATGGTTATTTTGTAAAAGCAAAATTAAGTCATGCTTATTCAAAAATTCCCAAATATGTAAGAAAGGCAGAGTGTAATCTTCAAGAACTCAAGCTTTCAAACTATCTGTAGTCCAAGCCTCTCCCACTCACTTGTCTAACCTTTTAGTGCCCAGTTTCTCATCTATTAACATAAAATGATGCACTGGGCTCAGTCCAAGGCATGGCATGTGAGCTCAGTCTGGTGAGGTTTTTCTGTAACTTCAAACAAACTGCTCTCTTGCTGCATTCAGGCCTGGGCTCAAATGCGCTATCCTTCACTGATGCCTTTTCTAACTGCTCAGTCTAAAATGGCCCCAATCCCAGTGACATCCTATCTTTACCCTTCTTCAGAAAACTTATCACTGTATTATGTATCTTTTGCTTGCTTTTCTATTACTCATGGAGGCAGTGGCTTTATAATATTCACTGACACAAAATACAAACTGAAAATCCCTAATCCAAAAATGTGGAATCCAAAACACTCCAAAGGTTTTAGATTTTGGAGTATTTTGAATTTCATATTATCAGATTAGAGATGCTCAACCAGTAAACTTTGTACAAATATTCCAAAATCTAAATGACTTCTTGCCCCAATCATTTCAGTAAGAGATCCTCTAACCTGTAGGTTGGAATACCTGGTGTGAACAGATTAAGAGTACCTACTCGTAAGACGGTGTGATAATTAAGTGAACTAACGCTTATAAGTATTACACAATGCCTGGCACACAGTAAGCATATTTGTTTCAACATTCTGATCAATTCTTACATAAGTTCTGCCATAATTTAGTAAACCAATTCTTTGAACTGAACAGTTAGGCAGTTCTCAGTTTGTACTATTGTAAATCAACTGCATCTTTATGTATGAACTCTTGAAATAATATTCCCTACGAGACAATTACCAGGTTTAAAGTCAGCAATCATTTCTCATAATGCTTTCTACAAACCTCACCTCAGTGAATATACGCGTAACTGGTAAAATCTGAATAAGCCCAATGGATTACATCAGTCAATTGTCTTGGGCCGGGGATTTAGCTCAGTGGCACCACTCCTGCCTCCCAAGCACAAGGTCCTCAGTTTGATCCCAAGTACAGAAAAAAAGGTCAATTTTCTAGTGTAAATACTGTACTATAGTTACCCAAGAGATTAACCCTGAGAGGGGCTGGGTGAGGAGTATACATGATATCCCCATACATCTTTGTACCTTCCTGTGAATCTATAATTTTTCCAAATAAAAACTTTAAAAAATATTTTTAACTGACAGAGACAGAGACAGAACACATATCTTACCTCTTCTTTTGTGGCATTTTCAGGCACCCCACTTAAACGAATAAGCCTGCTAGGTTTCTCCTCACTTGGGCCAGTCCTATAATCTTGATCCTTGAATTCAGAATGTAAAATTATTTCACAAATATAACTTTGTGTGCAAAATTAAACTCAGTATGAAATATAGACATTGAAAATCAAAAATGAAAATGACTTGTATCACGTGACAATAAGAAAAACTATAACTTTCTCTATTGTTTTAAGTCACCCTTCCAATTTTGGGGGGAGGGTAGTAGTTCTGGGAATTGAACTCAGGCCTTCACACTGAGCTGCATTCCCAGGCTGTGTTCAAACTTGTGATCCTCCTGCCTCAGCCTCCAAAACTGCTGAGATTACAAGTATGAGTCACCATGCCTGGCTGCCAAAATTTGACTTCAAATCATTGGATTACAAGTATGCTAAAACATGCCAGTTGTGCTGATGCACACCTGTAATCCCAGTAGGATCAAGAGGCTGAGGCAGGAGGATTGCAAGAAGTCTGAGAGCACCCTGCACTACATAGTGAGTTCAAAGCCAGTTTGAACTACATAGCAAGACCCTGTCTCAAAAAAACAAAAACAAACAAAAAAACAAGTATACTAAGACACAAGATCATTGAGTCTTGAAATACTAAAGCAGAATATTAAGAGAAACAATACCAGGTTTAGTATGTGCATGTGTTTAACACACATAAATTCCATCCCAAACACAAAAAGAAAGAAAAAGAAAGGCAAGGAAAGGAAAAAAGAAAAAAGGAGGGAGAGAAATACACTGAATATGACTTTTTTTTTTTTTGGTACCGGGGATCAAACTCAGGACCTTGTGCTTGCACTGAGCTACATCCTCAGCTTTGTTTGTTTGTTTGAGACAGGGTCTCTATATGTAGTTCAGGCTTGCCTTGAACTTACTATGCAGCTCAGCCTGGCCTCAAACTTGTGATGATGATCCTCTTGCCTCAGTCTCCCAAGTGCTGGGATTACAGACATGCATCACCACACCCGGCTTGAATATGACATTTTTACAATTAGAAAAAGCATATATTCTTAACACTATAACTTTCTCTTCCTGAATGAGCAAATTAAAAAAGTCTGTTTGTTCTTCAGCAGGCAGCAGCACCACTGAGCTAAATTCCCGACCCAAGCAAATAAAAATTTAAACTAGATGTAATTTATTAAAGATGCCTTCAATAAACAAATTTCAAAACAAAGTAAAAATCTGAGTCTAAACCATGTAACAGAATAATTCACAGAAATCTACTTTTTTTATATTTAAAGATTCAGCTCTAATTAATTTCCCTCTATTTCAAAAGTTACATACAAGGGGGCCGGGATTTAGCTCAGTGGTTTTGCCGCCTGCTGCACAAGCCCAAGGACCTGAGTTTGATCCCCGGTACCAAAAAAAAAAGAGAGAGAGAGAGAGAAAGTTATATACAAGGGATGGGGATTTAGCTCAGTGGTTCTGCCACCTGCCTCCCAAGTGCAAGGTCCCAAGTTTGATCCCCACTACCAAAACAAGTTATAGCCAAGCATGGTAGCACATGCCTATAATCCCAACACTAAGAAGGCTAAGGCAGGAGAACTGCAAGTTCAAACCAAGCCTGGGCAATTTAGCAACACCCTGTCTCAAAAATTTAAAAAAAAAAAAAAAAAAAAGGTTATAAATAGGATTTAACTTTTGAGAAGAAAATCTCCTATAACTAAGTGACCACATCTCATTATGTCTACTGCCTGCCCTAATTATGAACAGTGTCCTCTTTTACTTTTTTTTTTTTGGTACCAGGGATTGAACGCAGGACCTTGTGTTTGCCAGGTAGGCACAGTGCCACTCAGATACATCCCCAGCCCCTTCTTTTACTCTTGAAAATACTGGATTTAGACAATAAACTGTGGTTACATAGCTCTAACTGTCTAACAGCCCATTATTTGGTTAATATGTATTAAGATCACCATCCAAAATAGTGAAACCTAAATAAAGATCTGTAGAATCTGGGATGGGGATTTAGCTCAGTGGTTCTGGCACCTGCCTCACAAGCACAAGGTACCAATCCCCGGTACAAAAAAAAATTTGTAGAATCTGTTTTACAGATATTATTTTCATTGTTAAATTGTAAACATAGACCCAGGCATGGTGGTGCACACCTGTAATTCCAGCTACTCAGGAGGTTGAGGCCAGAGGATTTGAAGTTCAAGACCAGCCTCAGCAACTTAGCAAGACCCACCACAAAATAAAAATGAAAAAAGTTTAGGTACTGCCTAGTGTGTATGAGGTCTTGGGTTCAATCCCCAGAGCAATAACAAAAATGCAAACATTACCTTCTTCTTTCAGGAACCTCAAAACATTTAAGCTAATTAATTTAGCTTCAAGAAGATACTCAAAACATCAATATCACTTCTTCATGACTGCGGGAATAGTCTACAACTATGGAAAGACTATGAATGAGTTTAAATAAGAAAAAAAGGGCTGGGGATTTAGCTCAGTGGTTTCGCCACCTGCTGTGCAAGCACAAGGACCCGAGTTCAATCCCTGGTACCAAAAATAAATAAATAAATAAATAAATAAATAAGAAAAAAAGTTCTAGGGGCCAGGGATTTAGCTCAGTGGTTCCAGTGCCTGCCTTGAAAGCGCAAGGTCCTAAGTTTGATCCCTAGTACCAAAAAAAAAAAAAAATTCTAAATCACAAGGCCTGATCATGTAAGTTGTGAGAACAAACTAAATCATCTCAGGATATTTAAATCAGCACAATAAAACAAAATAATGAAAAAACAAATAAAAAATATGATCTAAAGGCCCGATATGGTGGCATACAGCTGTAATCCTAGCATTGAGGAGGCTGAGGCAGGAAGATGGTTGCAAATTCACAGCCAGTAGGGACTGTAGTGAGTTCAAAATCAGCTTGGACTACAGAAAGATATCTTTCTCAAAAACTACAAAAAGATGAATGAGAGAGAGACACACACACACACACACACACACACACACACACACACACAGAGACAGAGAGAGGAGGGTGGAAGGAAGTGGGGAGGGGAGGGGAGATGGATCTGAGGTAAGGGCCCTTTCTCTCAAGATTTATACTCATTCCACTCCTGAATACAAATTTTGCTTTCTAATGGCTGTGCAAGGAGAGATGCAAGACTAAAATTCCTGGACACCATAATGCTTCTTTCAAAAAAGCCTTATGAAAAAAGAAAAAGCCAAAAAACAGTAACAAAAAAGAGCAAAATCCACCTCATCAACATACCTGAAGGTCCCGTTGGGCGTCTCGGGCAGTTTTGCCTTCCAGAAAAGTCTTGTTCTGCCCATAGCCAAAGATCTGGCTTCCAGGCAACCTGTGATCCACATCACGATACTCCATGCTTCTATAATCCGTGTCTTGTTGGCCAAGAAAGTCCAGGTCACCCTTTTGTTTAAACAGGCCAGCATCTGAACTCTGTTGCTCAGCTCCAGAAAGCTGTGACTTGTCTTGGTCTTGAATTGGACTTTGGCTCTTTTGAAAATCTGATGGAAGCTCATGTTCAAAGGCAACACCTTGTGTTTCTCCTTCTCTTGTTTCTGAATGCTCAAATTCTCCCTTCTGAATGCCAAAACTAGGTCTTTCTGCAGTATGGTCATATTTGGATTCTTCTCTCTTGTTCACGTTCATACAAGAATGTTCTCTATCTTGTGTAGAGGGCTGAAGGTAATCCAAAAGTTTTGGATCCACAGGAGGCATCTCCCTGTCTTTAAATTCCACACAAGGTCCCATATCTCTGCCCCTAAAATCCTGATCAGTCCTGGACCGGTGTCTACCTCTGAAGTCTGAATGTGGTGTATCCCTGTCCCTAAAGTCTAGATCAGTAGTTCCTGAACCTCGGGCTCTGAAGTCCACCTGTGTTCCGTCTTTATCCCTAAAGTCCAAATCCGATACATCTCTATTCCTAAAATCAGAACGGGACTGATCTCTGGTCCTGAAATCCAAATCTGATAAATCTCTTCCTCTAAAATCTGCATGGGATCCATCCTGGCCTCTAAAATCTAAATCGTAAGTGCCCTGGCCCCTAAAGTCAGATGGAGGATCTCTACCTGTGAAGTCAACAGTGTGAGTATCCCTGTCCCTGTAGTTCATATGAGGTGTCTCCCTTCCTCTAAAATCCATAGAAGTACCATCCTCTCCCCTATAGTCCATAGGTGGTCCTTCTCTATCCCGAAAATCCCCAGAATGTATGTCCCTACCCCTGAAGTCCAACTGTGAAGAATCTCTGCTCTGGAAATCAGTAGATGAAAAATGTCCCCCGCTGAAATCATGTCCTGGTCCCTCCCCTCCTCGATAGTCGCCATGCGGTCCATCTCTAGCTCCATAGCTGAAAGAATGCTCCTCTACATTTGCAAAAGGAGGCCCCGAATGCCCCTGGAAATCAAAGGGAAGTGAATCTCTGCCAGGAAAGTTGCCAGAGTGTCTCTCTTGAGCATGACTCTTAAGGGGAGGAGGAGGATAATCCCTGTTCCACCCGGGAGCAAACCTCTCTTCTTGGCTCCCACTGTAGAAACAAAGACAGTGTTATTCATATTGTCCAGAGAGTTTGAAATCTACACACCAGCATATTCTTCTCTAATCACAGCACATTCTTCTGTAAACATTTTTTTTTTTTTGGCAGAGTTCTGTAACAAGGTCCTAGATCTGCAGAAAACAGCAAAGTTTTGCTATCTTAAGACGAAGTGACGGAGTAAAGTTTTATGCTCCCATTTCAGAACACGAGGAAAGTCAACACAAGGTTTTCAACATGACTGCTGCAGAAAAAGCTTTCAACCAGTCCTGCAACAGGGAAAATCCGCAATACCAGATAAGCTAACAATGGTGACATTACAAAAATTTCCATTTCCTATAGCTAGGGAACTTAGAATTCCAAGGTCAACATGATGATTCCTATACATCAGAAAAAAATCAAGGCACTTTTAATTTCTTACAGTAAGTTTCAGGAAGTGTCTTTCTCATAGCTGCATCCAAGGGTAACATTCCAAAATATTTCTTTCATGACAGCTATAGCAAGAATACCATTCAAAATGGATGCAAGCCCAAAAGAAACAAACACTAGTTGTATATCAATCAGCAGTAGAAGCACACCAGTGTTCACCAGCTGAGTATCACTCTGGCTGCATCTAAATCCCAGTTCTACAGTGACTCAACCCAGAAGCACTTACTATAACTACCCAAGGTTATCACAGAAGGCAGCATAAATCATGCTATAAAGCATGTGTAAGTCACCTAAGTGAAGCAACAGCTCCCAGGAGCTTAAAAGGACCTAAAGACAGTATTAGGTCTTCAAGCATTATCCCCATCTCCCAAATGAAGAAGCTGATATTTCAGATTCCAATGTCTCACAAGCTAATTTTTCACAGTAACAAAGAGTATTTTTAAACTAGGAATAGTATTAATAGTATCACATTCTCAGTTTACAGAAATCAAGAGATAAACAAGAAGTGGCACAATCATCCATACTACCCAATTTCTTCCCCTTGCCTAACCTCCAGAGCATTTTACACATTTTGGCTTTGGTCAAAGATGAGGACACTTAAATAGACAATTAGGGATACAGGATGGAGACACATGAAAAAGAAAAGAAAATGATTTGAAGGGTTACCTGCAGTAAACAAAAGCATTAAGATAGCACCAACACAGTTCTCTCCTCCCAGAACATACAGTTCCTATTATAAAGGACCCTTCTAAGTTCAAACTACACCATATAGTAAAATTCAAAAGACAACGGATTTCAGGTTACTTAGTTCAAGAGTAAAGTTATAAAGCCAAACCCTCTGTTAAACTAACAGGAATTTACCATTAACCAAAACACTAGAATGATGTACATTTAATGGATTTCAGAACACAGTAACTTCCATTGGTTCCCATTAACATTAGTTATGCCTATGTGGTTCATCCTAAAAGAAGCAAATTTAAATGATCTTCATAAATAATAAATTTAACACTAAAATTAAGATGTTATAATTAACTATAGGACCTCTCATATTTAAAAATCATTCAAGTCCTACTAATTAGCTGGCTAAAGACTTTTTTTTATTTTCGGTACTGGGGATCGAACTCCGGTCCTTGCATGTGTTCGGGGCAGGCAGCGGAACAACTGAGCTAAATCCTCGGCCCAGCTAGAAGACTTTTAAGCCTCCTCAGACACTCATGAGATGTGGGCTGAGCCATTTAAATCTACATGTTTTCTGACCAGAATGCATCCAACACTGTCTTTGAATACTCCCTTAGAATTTCCTTACCTTTCTAAGATCAAACAAATCTAGAGTAACTTACTGTACTGAGGTCCTTTGATCTATATTTTGTGGAGACTAATCAAGAAATAACGGGCCAGGGATTTAGCTCAGTGGTTTCGCCACCTGCTGCGCAAGCGCAAGGACCCAAGTTCGATCCCCAGTACCAAAAAAAAGAAAAAAAAAAAAGAAATAGCACTATTAATATAGCTGAGGCTATGAAAATCATTTAACTAAATAAAAATGAATTTAAGGGAAGGGGAAAGAAAATAAGAACCAAGATACTCATCTAATGGTACAAGATCCCAATGATGTACGTAAATGTATTTTATACCTAAAATGTACCAATAAACTTAATGGGGAAAAAAAATGAATTTAAGAAAATAATAATTTTCCTGCAAGATATCTATTTTTGGTCCAAATTAGTCCCCCTCAAAAAAAAATGTTATATAAATTATATCTCCCTCTAGTCAAAGGTTTTTGTTTTGTTTTGGGATTTTCTTCCCCCTTGGCAAGGAGAGTTCCCTAGGGATTGAGCCCATACTAGGCAAACACCAATGAGATATATCTTTAGCCCTTTTCTTTTCTTTTTTTTTTGGTACCAGGGATCGAACTCGGGTCCTTGCGCTTGCAAGGCAGGCGGGAGAACCACTGAGCTAAATCCCTGGCCCTCTATTTTATTTTATTTTTTTGGTACTGGGGATCGAACTCCAGTCCTTCCACTTATGCAGCAGGCAGCGAAACCACTGAGCTAAATCCCTGGCCGTTCCATGTCTTTAAGAAAATGTGGTATTTATATACAATGGAGAACTACTCTTCCATATAGAAGGATAAATGACTCATTTGTTGGGAAAAGGATGCCATCTGAGACCATAATATTAAGTAAAATAAATCAGATACATAAGCTTAAATGTCACATGGTTTCTCTAATAATGAGAAACCCAAAATATAAATTAAATAGCAAAATAAAAGATATAAAAGGAAATGGAAAGACTGACAAGGAGACCAAGAGATGGAAAGAAGGGAGAGAAAGGGGAGGGAAAGGGGACATAAAAAGAATCAAGATGTGTTATGTACCTGCATCAACTCCCTACAATGAATGTAATCATTGTGTACTGCAAACATGTACTAATAAAAATTAAAAATAAAATCAAGGGCTGGGTGTGTAACAGTGGTAGAGTGCTTGTACAGCTTTCACTGGGTTTGATCCCTTGGGTTCTATCCTGTGTTTGCTCCATAGCACAAGTCTGAAAATCAAAAAACAAAGAAAGAAAAAAAAATTGTTAAAAAAAAAAAGCATGTAATGACTTACATTTAAAATGGGGAGGGGGCCAGGGATTTAGCTCAGTGGTTTCATCACCTGCTGCGCAAGCACAAGGACCCGAGTTCGATCCCCGGTACCAAATAAAAATAAAAATAAAAAGTTTTGGGGGGTCGGGGATTTAGCTCAGTGGTTTTGCCACCTGCTGCGCAAGCTCAAGGACCCCAGTTCGATCCCCAGTACCAAAAAAATAAATAAAATAAAATAAAATGGGGAGGGCTGGGGATTTAGCTCAGTGATGCCGCAGCGCAAGGTCCTGAGTTCAATCCCCAGTACCAAAAATAAATACATAAATAAAATGAGGAAATACAAATGTTAATGTACAGAGCCAGGTGTGGTGGCGCACACCTGTAATCCCAGCACTAGGGAAGCTGAGGCAGGAAGACTGCAGCAAGTGCAAGGCCAGCCTGAGTTAAGTAGTGAGTTCCAGGCTAGCCTAGAAAACATAATGAGACTTTGTCTCAAAAAAAAGGGTTAAAAAGTACAAATCCATTCATTCCAGACCAAAGGTTGGTAGACTTTTTTTTTTAAATAAAAAGCCAGAGAGTAAATATATTGGGACTTTCTGGGTCATATAATCTTTGTAATAACTATTCAAAAAAAATTCAACCATGCCACTGGAACATGTAAGCAACCATAGACAAAACTGTAAATAAATGTCTGTGTCCTGATAACATTTTATTTAAAGACAGTTTTGGGGGCCAGGGATTTAGCTCAGTGGTTTCGCCACCTGCTGCACAGGCGCAAGGACCCGAGTTCGATCCCTGGTACCAAATAAAAATAAAAATAAAACCAGTTTTGGGGGGCCGGGGATTTAGCTCAGTGGTTTCGCCACCTGCTGTGCAAGCACAAGGACCCGAGTTCGATCCCTGGTACCAAAAAAAACCAAAACAGTCTTTGGGCTGGGCGTGGTGGCAAATGCCTGTAATCCCAGCACTAGGGAGACTGGGGCAGGAGGACTGCAGGGAGTTGAGGCCAGCCTGAGCTACAAAGTGAGTTCAAGGTCAGCCTGAACTACATAGTGAGACTCTGTCTCAAAAAACAAACAAACAAACAAAAACGGTCTTTGGGCTGCAGTTTGCTGACCAGTGATCTAGAGCTTAGTATATACTGAACAGAAAAACATCCCAGCACTACCTCTATAAATTGAAAGGCTTCAAAAAAGCAAAGACCCTTTTCGTTTAACATTTATGAAACGTTAGTTGTACTAAATATTACACAGATTTTCTAAAGTTAGTTTTTTTCCCAAATTTTTTATTGGAACCTAAAGCTTCAGAATAATGAATGAGAACATGTACAGACTTTAAACAATATTTCGCAGACTACCAATTCAAATGAAAATTTACTAGCAACAGAAGTTTCAGATGGAACATCAATACTTTTGTTTTCTTAGTTTTCTCCTTTTCTCATATTCAGACTTTTTTTGTTGTTTCAGAGACAAGAGTCTCACTATGTATTCCTGGCTGGCCTCGAACTCACTGGCAATCTTCTTGCCTAAGGCCTCCCAGGTGCTGGGATTACATGCATGCACCACCAGACCTAGCTCCCATCATTTTTTTTCTTTTTTTTTTGGCAGTACCAGAGATCAAACTCAGGACCTTGTGCTTTTGAGGCAGGTGCGATGCCACTGAGCTAAATCCCTGGCCCAATATTTTTGAATGTATAATTTTTTGGGGGGGGTGGGGGGTTACCAATGATTGAACTCAGAACCTTGCATTCGCAAGGCAGGTACAGGGCCACTGAGCTAAATCCCCAGCCCAAATGTATAAATTTAAATCAGATTTTTCTGCCATATACCAAAAACCATATTCACATAGCATTTCACTAATTGTGAACACAATACACATACAAAAGTTTTTAAAACACTATCACCAGTGTGTATTATACTAGCTATAAGAAAACTACAGAGCAGAGAGTATTGGCACAGGTGACTGAAGGGCTTGAACTGAGAAGATTAAAACAAGTCTGTGCAATTTAGCAAGACCCTGTCTCAAAATTTTTAAAAAATTTTTAAAAATTTTTAAAACATGGGCCAGGTGGGCCAGGGATTTAGCTCAGTGGTTCCCAAATCTGTCTAGAAAGCACAAGGTCCTGAGTTTGATGTCCGGTACCAAAAAAAAAAAAGGAACTGAAGATGTAACTCAGTGAAGGCCATAGAAAACCGTAGTACTGGCAAAAAAAAAAGCAACAAAACCTCCTTAAAAATGTAAAATATTATCCATTTACAACTAAATGCCACCATCATCTACACTCTTCTTTGTACCTAGTAACACAAAAACAGAAATATAGCTTAGAAAAACGCATCCGCATAGCAATGGCAAGGAACAGCTATGGATTCCAAGAATTTATCAGTAAACTTAATGGAACTTTTATAAACATTTATGTACAGTATATTTTGCTAGCTTTCTTTACTAGCCAAGTACACATTATGTTGCTAAAAGAGGAAAAAAATTTAAAAGTGTTTTAGGCTATCTTTAATGTTCGAAAAATGTTATAAGGGGCTGAGGATATAGCTCAACGGTAGAGCACTGGCCTGCATGTTCCAGGCCCTGGATTTGATCCTCAACACCACAAAAAAATAAAATGTTATAGGATAAAAACACTTAGTATAATGGATGGTCAGTTTCACAATCAACTTAGAAATGACTAGAAACTTTTAAAGAACTTTGGGCTGGGGATTTAGCTCAGTGGTTCCGCCACCTGCCTTATAAGCACAAAGTTCTGAGTTTGATCCCCAGTACCAAAAAAACCAAAAAACTTTGTTTCTAAACTAGGCATGGTGCCACATGCCTATAATCCTAGCACTCTGGGAGGCTGAGACAGGAAGACTACAAGTTGTAGGCCAGCCTGGGCAATTTACAAGACTCTGAATGAAAGTAAGAAAGTAAAAAGGATTAGAAATATAGCTCAATGCTCCCTAGGTTCAATACCTAGTTACTGAAGTAGGGATTTTTTTTCTTAGAAAGAATTTCAAAGAATTTTAAAAAGAGCTTCTATTTTTTAAAACATCAGAGCTATTTCTCCACAAAGAAAAATATCCTTTTACGGTAGGCAAAAATGTTATATATGTATCACTGAAATACTGACAATCTCAGTATTCAAATTTTAGCACTTACCGAAAAGGTCCTGTTCTGTTACCAGACCGAGAATCCCCCCACATCTCTTTCTAAGTCAAGAGGGCCTCAATAAGTAGATGCTTTTTGTACAAACTTTAGAGCGGTACCTGTATAAAACAAAACACAAAATGTACTTTAGTACATAAAACAAAAGCTAGTTACTCTCTATGTGGCTAATCCTACAACATCCAGCCTGGCTAAACAGAATAATTTATTATGTTTACCACAATGATTGCTTTGAAGACAGGCATGTAACCCAAATCAAGCTGAGAAATGTAGCTCAGTAGCAAGCAGGAGGCCCTGTGTGCAATGGGGTGGGGGGCAGCGCGTGAGAAAGAGCAAGCTGGGAATGTAGCTTAGCACAAGTAAGGCTAAGCCCTGAGTTCAAAGTCATAATACTATCTTTTTAAAAAAAATCTTGCCCTTGCCACACACTTCCTCTCCAGTATGGCAGTGATTTTGGTCTTGAAATAGAGGCAGGCCAATTCCTAGCTCCTGCCTCAAAAAGCAGAGTAGACTTTATAAAGCTCTACCTTTTCTGGAGAGGTATTTGAAGGACTGATACAAAATGCTCTTCTCAGGGCTGGGGATTTAGCTCAGTGGTTCCAGCACCTGCCTTGCAAGTCAAGGTCCTGAGTTCGATCCCCCATACCAAAAAAAACCCCAAACCAACAACAACAACAACAACAAAATGCTCATCTCTATTTCACCTAAATCAGAAATCACACAGGAAAAGCTGCTGGCATAAAACAACTAGAAACTCACAGACACTGGGGGCAAGAGATGAAGGATAGAGGCCCAGGAGAAAGGCTGGGGTAAAACTCTGGAAATTAGGATATTCAAAAGCAGCAGGTACAGCTGGGGATAGAACACTTATCCAGCAAACGTTAAGGCAAGCAACACACACACATGTGCATAAAATGGGGATATTTAGAAGCCACACATAAGCTCAGGCAAGACAGATGATCATACAAGACCTGAGAACACCATAGCACTTCATTCATCTAAGGCTGATGCCCAACCTCAGAGGAAGCCGAGTACTGAATGGAATGAGTATCCCAGCAAAGAGCTAATCTGCAGACACGAGAAGTAGTTGTTTTATTTTTGTTTCTGCTGGGGTTTTGCTTATTCGTTTGTGCTTCTGCCATTCAAGAAAATCTCTTTCAAAATCATTGCTGAGGAGGATGAGGCAGGAGGATCGCTCCAAGTTTGCAGCCAGCCTGGGCTACAAAGTGAGTTCATGGCCAGCCTAAAGTGCATAGCAAAACCCTATTTCAAAAAGAAAAGAAAAAGTCTCAAAACAGACTACTACAACTTTTAACAATCCTCCCCCCAAAAAACCCCAGAAACCCTCAAGAAATGGAGGAAATCTGATTTCCAAAGTTGTCAAATAATAGTCAAAAGACCAAATTTCAACAAAAAATCATGAAGGGTACAAAGAAAGAGGACAACAGCACTCACTTGAGGAAACAAACACAAACCATCCATAAGAAAGCTCAGATACTTGACATTCTAGATAAAGACTTTAAAACTGTCTTTTTCAATAAAAAGGAGGGGGGACAGTAGTGGAGACTGAACCTCACACCTTGCATAGGCATGTGCCTACAAACTAGGCACCAAGCCCCCAAATAACTGTCTTAATATGCTTAAAAAGCTAAATGTTAGCATGGAAAAGGAAAACAATATATATGTAGAATAAAAGTATTTATAATGAAAAATTCATCAGAGAGATCAACAGCAAAATTGGGCAGGCAAAAGAAAAAGATCAGAAAACATAAGGGCCAGGGATTTAGCTCAGTGGCACTGCGCCTGCCTCGTAAGCACAAGGTCCTAAATTCAATCCCTGGTACCAGTAAAACAGAAACAAATTTGAAGACAAGACAATTTAAATTATTGAATCTGAAAAGCAAAAAGAAAAGAATGAACAAAAGTAAATAAAGCCTAAAGCACATGGGTCAGCTTCATTAAATAGGCCAATGAATGCATCATGGGAGTTCCAGGAAGAAAGAAAAAGGAGTGCAGAAAGATTATTTGAAGAAATAATTGGCAGCTCTTCCTTTTTGTAGCCATTGCTGATGTGGCAACAGTCAAGACGAAATTCAACACCACTGTGACTTCTGACCAAAGGAAACCCATAAAAGGCATTTCAAACAGCCTTTTACATACACAGAAAGATTGTCTTCCCCTCTTTCAGAGGTACAATATTTGATTTGTGCCATTCTGAAAGGAGGAAGTTCAGGATGTGTGAGAGGACACTATAACTATAATAATCAGGAAAAGACAAAGTAGCCCAAGAAGCCCACAAAGTAGACAGATAAACTCATACCAAGATACGACGGAACTGCCACAAGACAAAGAATCTTAAAAATCAGAAAAGAGGCAACCCATCAATATGAAAGATCTTCAGTAAAGATTATCAGTCAGTTTCTCAGCAGAAACCTTTGCAATAAGCAGTAGGATGATAAAATAAATGGGGGGGGGGTGTTTTCCAACCAATAATTCTTTTTTTTATTTGTTTATTTATTGGCACTGGGGATCAAACTCAGGACCTTGCACCTGCAAGGGAGGTCAGATGCCACTGAGCTAAATCCCTGGCCCTCCAATCAATAATTCTATATCCAGCGAAACTGACCTTCAAAAATCCAAAACAAATAAATAAATAAAAGCTGGGGATGGTAGAGCAGCATGCCCGAAATCCTAGCACTAAGGCAGGAGGGTTACAAGTTCCAACCTGGGCAACTTAAGATTCTATCTTATAATTTTTTTTTTTTTTAAAAAGACAGAATCTCACTATGTAGTTCAGGCTGGCTTGAACTCACTATGTAGGCCAGGGTGGCCTTCAACTCACAGCAATCCTCCTGCCTCAGCCTCTCCAGTGCTGGGAGTGTAGGTGTGCACCACCACACCTAGATTGTCTCAAAATTTAAAATAATAAAAGAGATGGGGATATAATTCAGTGTAAAACCCCTGGGTTCAATCACCAGTACCACTAAAAAAGTAAATATATACATACATCCAAGAAGAAAAAGAAACCAAGATATTTGAAAAAAATAATAGTTAAATAGAATCCATCCCTCAGAATAAAATGAAAAATGCTAAATAATAACTTCAAGCCATATAAAGAGATAAAGATTGCTGAGATAAAGATTGCTGATAAAGGTAAATACAGGGGGAATTATAAAAATTATTATTGTAACTTTGTTTTATAACCACTTTATTTTCTACATGGATTTTTTTTTTTGGTACTGGGGACCGAACTCAGGACCTTGAGCTTGCGAGGCAGGCACCAGAACCACTGAGCTAAATCCCTGGCCCATTTCTACATGATTTAAAAGACAAATCCCTAAAAACTATTAATGTAGATTATGGGCACAATTTATGAAGACGCAACCTATAACAGTAACAGAAGAGGAAAACTGTACAGCAGTTTTTGTATGCTATTGAATTTATTCATATAAATTCAAATTAGATTATAAATCTAGGATGTTAATTTCCAAAGTAATCAGCCACAAAGAAAATAATATTTAGAATATACACATTAAAAAAATCAGAAAGGGGACCAGGGATTTAGTTCAGTGGTTCTGGCGCCTGCCTCGCAAGCACAAGGTCCTGAGTTTGATCTCCAGTACCAACAAAAAAAAAATCAGCAGGGAAGCTGGGTGCGGTGGTGCAACCTCAGCATTCAGGAGGCTGAAGCAGGAGTATCATTGAGAGTTCAAGGCTAGCCTGGCAACACAGTAAAATCCTGTCTAAAAAAAAAAAATCAGAAGGAAATTAAAAAAAAAAAAACCAAACCTAAATATAAAAGACAGTACAGGGGCCGAGGATGTAGCTCAGTGGCACAGTACCTCCTTGGCAAGCGCAAGGTCCCGAGTTCAATTCCTGCTACCAAAAATAAATAA